GGGGGGGGGGGGGGGGGGAGTTGGAGGAAGGCGGGGGCACGTCCATTTTGTTTTTTTTGTTACAAAAAAGGCCCCTTAGGGCTTCTCTTACTATGCAGGAAACATGAGGTCATGAATCCCTCAACAATACAACCCGGAATAAAACATGTTGGCGATATAGCCCAATTCAGACAGTCGTCGGGAGTATAACTCTAGGGACTGCCCAAGGCCAGAAAAGCCACACAATACGAGAAAAACTACCACTTCTACGAAGCAACGCCCTCAAGGCCTGCGACAACCAAACAAACCTGAAATCAACCTACCACCCTATTAAACCACCAGTACTTGACCCGTACATAGGTCGTCGGCCGTTGGCGTTAACGCTACGCAATCTTCGGCCTTCAGGGTACCGGCGCTTCGGCAGAAATTGGCGCGCAGGGGGATTACAGACTCGACATCGATAGTTGGGCCAAGTACTAGTGGTTCAAATTAGTATTAATTAACCATATCACTACGACCAACAACACAGAACAAATCAGGAACTACCACTCTAAGAAGCAAAATAACACGGCACCAAGGCCTTCAAAACCACATTGCTCTCTTTATATTTGCTTACTTGTAAATGTAGTTGTGAATGTAGTTTGCCTTCTATGTACGAGTTGTAGTGACAGGGGAAGGCGGTACTTTGGTACATTGTGGTACATTGTGGCTCACAACGGTGCCCTCGATGGGCTTGGCCGGTGATGCCTCGCCCACTGAGGGCCCCACGTTTTTTTTTGTAAGGGACGCTGGGTCATTTCTCGACTATTATAATGGAACTCTTGCACATCCACCTTCCTTTTTGCCAGTAATTTTTTTATTTTATTTTTTTGGGAATTGTTCTCTTCTATATTCTTCTCTCAACTTCTGTTTTGCCTTTTCACTACCTACCTACTCCTAAGGCTATCTAGAGGGGACCCCTGCAAGGATAGCTACCTCTCACTGTAAAGGGGATATTGCATGTTGCCCCTTGCGCAAGTGGCTAAGGGTGTATGGTTGGGGCCGCCAGTGGGGGTCTGGCTAACACAAAGACCGAGACATGCCAGTCTCATAGTCCCGCACCCCTCATCAAGTACCTGCCCTCATATCGATCTTTTTTTTTTTTTTTTTTTTTTTTTTGTGAGCCATCCCATCCACTTTGCATGTCCCACTAGGCTTAGTTGGTAGAATGTGGCCGTGTCCCGCTAACACCGTTGAGTTTCCTCAACGTCCCAAATCTGAACGTGTTTGTGGGAGATGTGTGATAGAGGAAACTCAACGCGACATTCCGGCAAACACATCCTGGTTCGGTCGTTGACCAAACTACACGCTGGTAATGGGACCGGGCCACAATGTACATTTTGGATCTCATCCGAACGCACCTTGACCGCAAAGCGACCAAATGCATCTACAGTGGTGGTGTACTGCAGGGAGTTGGAATTGCGTAAGAAGTTTCAAAAAAAAAAAGGAGACCGGGAACGTCTCCAAAAGAAAAGGAGAAGTCGAAACTTCTCGAAAAAGAAAAGGAGAGCGGGAACATCACTATGGACCTACGGTTGTGGCCGGCCACCTCGCCAAAAAAAATGAAAATGCATTCCCCGCTAGGAGCTGGAAAGATGCATCCAGCACACGATTTAAAAAAAAAAGTGGGTGAGTTGACATTCGGTGAGTGGTGGTGTGGCAAAGGTACGTCGCTGGAAAGATGCATCTAGCACACAATTTAAAAAAAAAGCGGGTGAGTTGACATTCCGTGAGTGGTGGTGCGGCAAAGGTGCGCACATGACGAGATACCATCAGATACTCATACTCGATGCGGATCTCACGGCGAGGCCCGCATATTACCAATTGAGCTACGTCAGTTGGTAGTTCTCGTGCGATCGCACGACAGACGGTGTGGCGTGAGCTTTGGGGGATGGGTTTGCTCATCGCGCCCATCTGGCTTGTATTGCACAGCTGACGGTGTGGCGCGAGCTTTTGGGTACGGGCTTGCTCAGAGCGCTCAGCTGGCTTGTCTTGCTTTCGAATTTGGGCGTGGACTTTGGCACTGCTGCACCACACTTTTGTTGTTGTCGTTAGAGCGCAATAAGCCTCGTACAACCATGGAGATTGACGTAAACGCTCACTCCTTCGGGACTGAAGCAGGCATGGGCACGTTTCCTTCGATACGCATGAACTTCGCAATTTCTACATGTATAAAGAGGAACTTCAAGTCTCAGACGGCGAACGATATCATCGGTTGTTGGTACTCCCTCATCGTCATCTGGCGTTCATCTGGATGGAGTAGAGACGAGCTATGGCCACCAAGCAAGGTTGGAAGAGATGCGTATCGAATGAGGTTGATAACACTCTTGAGATGGGGAAAATCTTGGTCAGGGCATTCTCTTCACTGCCCCTTGTGCACAGTGTCTTGCCTCATCAGTTCGCGATGCTCGCGAAAGATCTTGCTTCTGAGGCGGGGTGCTCACCCTGGATGGTCGTTACACCAATGATCTCAATAGCAGGGTTGATGATGGGTTCCCGTGCGCACGTTCTAATCGAGGACAATATGTGGGTGGGGAACCCAATTTTCTGGTCCGTCGTTTTGGCATTCACCGGGACTAACAAGTCGCTTGCCTATGGGAAAATTTTGGGTGCACTTGACAGAGCGGAGTCGGAGATACAGCAGTTGGTTTG